CGTAATGTTCTGTTTCTCCGTTGCTAAGTGTCTGTAATGGGGTGAGAGGAGGGGGGAGTCGCCAAACCTCGAACTGAAAACTACACTCACTATTTTCGAAGAAAATATACGTGAGTTCCACAAAACAGACTTTTGGGAGCAATCAATTTTCAATATCATTCCTGTTCGTGGTTCTCGGAAGACACTAGTTACTCTGTTATGAATACGGGTGTCAATTTATATTTACTTTTCATTTAATTTACGCGTAAATTAAATGATAAATAATTTATATTTATTATAAAGTAAACGGTAAATGAGACCCCTACTATTTGATAAGTTTTGTTTTTTTGCATGTTATAGAGGTTTCACGTAATTTCTATAAGGTTTCTTTTGATACGCATGGAATCTGCTTCTTGAAGTCCTGTGAAGTCTGGTGAAGTTTTGTGAAGTCTTGCGAAGTTTTATGAAGTCTTGTGAAGTTTTGTGAAGTCTGATGAAGTCTTATAAAGTCCTACAAAGTCTCTGAAGTCCGTGAAGTCTCATGAAGTCTGTGAAGTCTAACGAAGTCTTTTGAAGTCCCATGAAGCCATACGAAGTCTTGCGAAGTCATTTGAAGTCCTATGAAGTCTTCAGAAGTCTTTAGAAGTCTTGTGAAAATATGAAGTCACTGCGGCTGAAGTCTGTTGAAGTCCGCTGTTTCCCCCTTGGACGATTCTCATGACGATTTACTGATCAAGGGGCACAGGCTGAGAGTATGTATTGGTGTGACTATAGAGTAATGAGATCTACGTCTTAACCTTCACTCACACCCACCTAGACCCAAGATACTATTTTGTAGGTGTAAGAGTGAGGGTGATGATTGGGGTGTGGGTTAGGACGTAGATCTCATTACTCTATAGCCACACCAATACATACACTCAGCCTGTGCCGCTTGATATCAGTAAATCGTCAACTCGAGTTGACCGTATCACAATTGAATGATTTTATATGTGTATACTATAATTTCTATCTGTTTAAGACATAACTCATCTTTTTTACATTGTTTTTTTTTCAGTCGGTGCTCATTTGTCTTATTTTTTTGGTGCTCTTTTCACATATAACTAATTATGTGCTCAATTGTCTTTTTTTCTGGTGCTCAAAAGACATGTTTTCCATGATGAACAAATGGAGTACAAAAAAAAAAGAAAAAAACCGAACTAGAATAACCAAAAAAAGAAGAGAGAAATCAAAAAAAAAAAAGAAAAATCAACAATAAAAATTAAAGAGCAATGTTAGCCGAAATATTTTTTAAGTT